TTATATACATATAGGTAAGCTCCAGCAACGGGCTATATGAAAAAAAGCTGTTTGCCAGAACATTTTTTATTCGCTATAGTACAACAGCGAGGAAGGGAGCGAGAGAGAAATATGTCTGGGGGTATCGGATAAAGTTACATTTTTATCTTAATTCAGAGAGAGAGAGAGAGAGAGAGAGAGAGAGACAGAGCTCGAGTTCATTGTTGCAACGACGACAGATAGAGGGAAAAAAAGCTCGAGAAAGTAGGCTAATTTAGACGCGCTCGGCTACGTGCGCTGCTACACACACACATATATATATAATAATACAAGGAACACACACATTTATCTGGAAAAAGGCAAGTACGTCAAGCGGTAACGTACAGATATATATAGACACGTATCGGACAGGATATCGATGCGCCGCTGCATTACTTTCTATATTCGGCGTAACGTGCACATGTCAGCTAGTGCCTGGATACGTGTGTGTCTGTGTGTTCAGAAGGAGGGTATACGTAGGTACCTATACGGCTTTGGCTGTATCGAATTACATTTATCGGAGCGGTGCAGTACAATACAGGATACGTTACTGCCACGCACATATACAGGAGCGAGAGTGAGATATATATCCTCGTGACAACGACTCGACTCCGAGGCGCGTGCAAACGCACCTAATCGACGCGATCGCGTCGAGTATAGTCCCTTTTCTGCTCATTATACACGCACAGTGCAATAGCCGTACATATATATATATGCGTGTGGGTGCAGTGTGTATGTGTGTTTGCTGCAGCTGCAGGGGTACAAGCTATACACGCCAGAGCTGCGGCAGGGATGGCAACAAGCTCTCCAATTAAAAAACACCAACAGCCGCAGCAGCAGCATCGCCACTTGAAGCATCCTCGTTTTTCCTTTCTCTCTCTCTCGCTTTATAATACAAAAGGAGAAGATCCGAACATATCCGCGGCGGAACGCAACAACCCTTTTCTCGCGTGCGCGCGTGCCTACGTATATATACATATATAGGATTGCAGCCGAGAACGACTCACACACACATATACTCGCACGTATTGTATATATAGGCAAAAAAGGTGCTACAGGCAGGAGAGCACGAGGGAGCATAAATACGGCTGACGGCAGCAGCAGCAGCGGCGGCGGCGACGGTGTTGGTGGTGGTGGTGGTGGTGGTGGTGGTGCGCTGCAAAAGGGAGCGACTCGCTGCTGACTCTGGCTGTAAGCGCGTCTGTGTTTGTGTGTGTGTGTGCATGTGCGCGCGCGCACTCGTGTCGCCGCATGTATACGTGTGTTTATATGTGTGTGTGGGTGGGTGGCTATGTATATTGTATATATGTATAGACGCGCGCACCGACCAACCTGCCGGCTTTCTCGTTTTGTATACGTGTGTGTGTGTGTGCGTTGTATAGTACACAGCCAGTCCAGAGGGTTGCTGCTGCTGCTGCTGGCTGACTTTATAGCTCGAGCTTTCTCTACACTACTTGCCTGCTCGGCTCGTATCAGTATGCGTGAGTGTGTGCATACTCACGGCTATACTACGGCTCTCTGTCTGCGATATCTACCTACGTGTGTGTGTGTGTGTATGCTGAACGCGAGCGAGGAAGAGTGAGCGAGAGAGAGAACGTATACCGATCAATACCCACTGCCACGCCTCGGCTCCCTCTCCGGCCCTGCGTGTAGTATAGCAGCCCGAGCTCTTGCTTTCTCTCTCTCTCTCTCTCTCTCTCTCTCGCTTTTCGCTTTCTCCATCCATCCCGTATATTGCATCGCCTGCAAGAACAGAGCCGCGCACTGCTGCTGCTGCTGCTGCTACGATAGAGGTATATACACGTGCACGTAGCTGTATATACATATCTACATCCGATAGAGAGATGCACACAGGTTTTCGCGCTCGCCGCGCGGAGGAGACCGCGAGCGGCGCGTTTCGCGATTGTACACGCGTATATACTATACATACGTACCGGCGACTGCGAAAATCTTCCGTCTCTCTCGGCGATCGCGCGTACTGCCCCCCGCGCACGCACGCACGCACGCACGCGACTATACTCCTTTTCCGCACGTGCGTGTGTATACTGTATAGTGGCCGCGCCGATATATCGGCGATAAACATTTTCCGCGAACGATACGTAGTTATACCCCCCCCCCCCTTATAGTACGTGTGTATGTATGTGTGTGCGCGCACGCGTGCCGCCTTATAACTCACCCCCTGAGCGCGTATATGGATAGTACCGCTATATATACCGCCGTCGCCGCGTGTTGTACCCCCGCGAGAGAGAGAAAGAAAAGAAAAATCGTTTCGAGTCCGATGTCTTTTATTATCTATATACGTATATATGTCGGCGTCGTTATATTAGAGCTGCACGCATGCGAGTCGCGAGGAGCGTCCATCCTATAATACTATATTTCTCTCTCTGCTGTGTGCCGAGCACACGGCTGCCGAGCGAGATAGATGTAAAATTTATATAGCGCCGGGTATACACGGGCTACTATATATACACACGCGCACCACCACCAAAACGGATCGATGAAAGAGGGCGACGGAGGAGAGAAGACAGAAAGAGAGAAAAGAGGAGGAGGAGGAGGAGGACGTGTTATATACGTCTACTATGCGGCCTATACACACACACTGGTGCGCCAGTACTGGACGACGATGTTGTCGCGCGATAAGCTGCTGCTGCTGAGCAAAGCGACGCGAGAGAGTCGGCCTATACGGAGTGAGCCCGACTGAGAGAGAAGTAACAGAGCAGCAGCACGTGCATAGCAGGAGGACAATATATACGTGGATATACTTATAAGCTCTCCGATTTTTTTTCTCTCTCTCTTTTTTTTTTATAAATACACTCCGAAAGGTGTGCAAAATTGAGAGACGGTCACAGGCAGCACGAGGCCTCCATATACCTACGTCGATCGATCGATTATAATATACCTATGTGCGATATGAACGAGCGCTGCGGCTGTTACTTACATACAGGCATGCGGATCCCCGTTCCGCTTTATTGATGTGTTATGTATAATGTGTACCTTCGGCGCGCAAGTACAATACGACGATAATCGACGCCGTGCGGATTTTTGACAGCCGAGCCAGAGTCTCGTATTATTATGACGTATTACAGTATGCGAGACGACGTCGGCTTATTATTATATATACAGGTACGATGTGTATATAAATGACGATAAATGCGCGTAAAAACAAAAGGTACGTATCGCTGGATACGCTATATTATATTGTATAAAATTTAATACGCGTTCCGTACGTAAGCTCTGTTACGTACAGTTTATAAACGTACGCACATCGATGTGTCGCAACTGACGTTTGTTTGTATTGTGCGTGTGCGTATGTACACCTTGCGCGCCGATGGATCAGAGAAGTATATGTATATAGCGGCCGATTTAAAGGGACGCGTATATAAAACACACGAGTATTTGTAATACGCGCGCAGTACGGTGTGCGAGAGTCATTGCATTCACGTGCACACACACACGCACACACTTACTCGTAGCAGATGTATCGTATATGCAACCCTCGCAATGTGCGCGGACTATGTGTTATACATGCAGGCCTTCGCACGCACCGGACCGATTTCACGCGGCTACTGCTCTCTTTCTTTCTTTCGTTCTTTCTTTTTTTGTTATTGTCACCTTGTGCGAGTCGAGGTACAGCAGGTTCCTCGCGCTATTTGCCAGCTCTCTGTACGATATATATACTGCAACGATGCAGCGCAAAGGTCAACGTTGCAGACTCTCTATTATATATAGCTATGCAGAGCTGTAATACGGCGCGCGCCGGGTTTAATAAACGATACGATGTAACGTGCATATTATTTGTCGACGTGTACACAGGCAGGTAATGAAATTATAACGGCAACGACGACGACGACTGTTGTTACGCGTGGATATATATATTACAGTGTAACGAATCGTGTCCTCTCTCGGACAATAGCACAACATTGGGTGCATCTATAGCGGCGTCGCGAGTTCGTACCATAAATGCGAGTTTCTGTTTAAAAAAATACATGCGAGCAAAAAAAGAGGTATCTTAGAAATGGAGGAAAAATTTCGAAACGAGTCGATACTTTATCACGATGTACGTAGACATCGCTCTCGACTCTGCCGCGTTTACGACACTGGCGCGTTGTTGAGCGTGAAATTCGCGCTTACCTGTATAACGTATTAAAGTATATTAACCGCGAAGCACTCGTACACGATGTACGAACGCTAATAAAATATGACACGCCTGCAGATTACAGCTTATAAATTCGTTATCGAATGCGGCGACGACGACGCGCATATGCGTATAGGTATGCAAAAAAATACGCGCAAAATTTCGGTGCGGATCGTCGTGTCCACGAGCACAGCAGCGATTCGCTGCTATATAATGTAGTCTCGAGAGCTAATACATATAATGTTGTGTATACTAACACGGACACACACATGTATACGCACACTTGTCGTATATATAGGTACGGCAACGGCGGAGGCACGCGCATTCCCAAACTTCCGGACTTACTTATGTACGCTCGATGCGTCTTTATATAATAATAATTGCGGTCGACGACGACGGCGGCGACGATTCACACTGCCATCTCATACACTCGCTAATGTACATACATGCGTGCATTAAATGTGTGCGTATATGAGAGAGAGAGAGAGAATGAGAATGAGCGAGGAGACTCTCTTTCACTCACTTACTCTTTCCAACTATATTAGCTCGAGTAAGTGTCTGTGAGTGTGTAGAGAAAGAGATATTATATGTTTGCTAGCACACACACATATGCTTATGGAGATCCGTGTATAATAATTATGTAATGGGAACGCGAGTAGGTGTACATATAAATATACACATAGACGCGTGCTATATCCTGCATTGCACACATATACATCTATTCGTGTGTGTTATACACTTATATATCGCGATAATATTACACGCGCGAATATTATCAACGGCGTGTATACGTGTGTTTGTGTGTCTCTCTCTCATTCGTTGAAAAAATTTTGGAGCTTCGACTCACCTGTGCAGCTCCGGGGGCCTCCTTACATGTAGTATTTTAGCACTTGTCTCTCTCTCTCTTTCTTTCTCTCTTGGCTGCTGCTGAATATTATTATGCGTGCGTCCGGTCACTGCTACTTGACTGTACAACGCACTCCGCCACTCGTGGATCCGTGTGTGCCTCTCAATCGGTTTCCCTGGCCGCAATCGTCATCTCGCTGAGAGACGGAGATAAAGAGAGAAAGAAAGAGACGATGAATCGCACACTTTTGACAACTATATGTATCAATGATCACTGAAAGATGCCGTATTATGTTATCACTCGCACAGAAAGATTTTCGCCAATTTCACGATACGCAAAACGAGCACATTCATCAATGAGCGATCGATTTATTCTTTCTCTTTTTTACGCATACATGTATCAAATAATTTTCACCTCCGAACAACGAACAACAACAATAACAAACAACAACGCACAACGAGGAGTCGCGAGGCACGCCGACAACGATCGACGTCTATTATATACGGACACAGACCTACACACAAACACACTGCACAGGCTGCTGCTGCTGGAAATTCTGCTGCTCTTCTTCTTGGCTAATATGATGCTAGGCTATCGTACGTATATGTATATATATATATATGGTATGTAATACACCGACACAGGGACACGGAGAAGCGAGTCGAAGACATCGACAGAGAGAAGCACACCACGGCTGCTCTAGCGAGGCACTCGCACATACACACGGACACTGACTGCTGCGACTTGACTCGCCGTCGTCGCTATATAATACTGCTGCTGCTGCCTCCACTCGTGCGAATATTATGTACGCGCGGGCGCGCGCGTGTGTGTGTGTATATGTACTCAGTATCGTGCAGCAGCTCAAGTCTGTATTATTATATTCTATCGCGCTCGAGAACGATGTATAGACGTCGTCGCGAAGAAAAAAAAACAAACTAATGAGCGCGTGCGTATGTATTTACGATATAATCGGCGATAAGTAACTTTTTATTAACGGAGCCGCACACGATTGCGGAGAGCATATACAATAAACGACGACGACGAAGAATAAAAAAAAAAGAATATAGCTACACGAGAAGAAGAAGTAGAAGAAGAAGAGGAAGAGGCGAGACACACTGTATCGCGCGCGCACAGGGTAACTCGCGACGACGATATACATATATTCGCACACGAGCTCGTACACAGACACCAGCAGCAGCAGCAGCAGCAGCAGCAGACGTATCTTTACACGCATACACGACACAAGCAAACGCACGCACACCGACAGCTATTCGAGTGCTTATGTGTGTATACGTTTTTCGTGTGTGCAGGCACAGGCCTCGCTCGCGCGGCTCCAAGTAGGTGTATGTATATAGCAGTGTATCGGTGTATGCGTGTGCCTACTGGCAGCCGACTCCGGAATATATGAATATGTGTGTGTGTGTGTGTATATTCGTGTACTGTGCTGGAAGTTCGTCGCACACCTATAAACGACACACGGATATATATACACACAGCACAGAGAGAGACGTACACACACCAGCGCTGCTCGCTGCTTTACATTATGTGTGTGTGTGTGTGTGTGCCTGTATAGCTATACAGGCAAAAAACGGAGCAGCCGCGCGCGAAACTCTGACGTCACTGTGCTGCGGCAGTCGTCGGGCGCGCACACGCACACACACGCTCGAGCAGAGCACCTATATCTGTATGTATATCCTATCGGTGTGTATATATCGGAGGCACACACGCACATTCGCGATTCGAGCAGCAGCAGCAGCAGCAGCAGCAGCAGCCACCGACGCACTCCTCGCAGGCACACACTCACACGGACGTTTACGCACACCAGCACCACCAGCACCACCACGATTCGCAATCCATTTGGATGTCTTGCACATATATATAATCTTTATGTGCAGCGTTGCGTCGTGTAACAATTATTGAAAAAATCCAACGATTGTCGAGAGCTGGAATGCCCCTGCGTGCCGTCCTCTGTTGGTCGTGTGCGTGCGTGTGTTAAAGCCCAATGACGTTACGGAGATGCTGCTGCTGTTGCAGCCGCACCGGATTCTACACGATTTCGCAGCTTACACGAGCGCGAGTCTTGCCTCTATCTTTTTTTTTTGTTATTTATTTTGTTATTTTTCCGTTACTTTGCGATGCCGTCGTTGTTACTTTTTATTTTGTACTGTGAAAATTATTTGATACATGTATGCGGTCGCGCTCTTACGGCGTTGTTAATGGTTGCGAACGACGATATATATTATTATATGTGGTATGTACAACGTTATATGGGATATCGAACCGCAGCGGAGCGCTGTGCTCTCGCGACTATCGGAGCAGCGTTTCGTGGAGCCATTCGACGACGACGACGACGAGGGGACGATGTGTTGCTGGCGTGTATGCAAGTGCGCCTGTGTGCCCTACACTTATACCATGTGTGTGTGTGTGTGTGTGTGTGTGTCGCCAGTCGCTCCGACGATATTTCAGCGGCGGCTGCGTGCTATGCTGCTGACTGCAAATATCGCTCGCGGAACGTGTTTCGCGCTCCATCTGACAAGCGAGCAGCCAAGCTGCTGCTTGTTCTGCAATTTGGTATGCGCGCGAAACTCGCTCGGGATGGAAGCTCGGCATTTGAAATTTCGTAGATCGATGCGAGTATACGCGGGACCGATTCACTGCGTCAGCTCAACCGAGCGAAAATTTTTTTCTTTTTTATAACTATAAAGATGAGCATGAAGTTCGGCGTGCCAGAAACGTCCCAAAATTTGTTTGGATCTTTTTTAGGCCCGTCTGTCACTCTGTGTCAGAGGTAAGCGTTTTTTAGCATTTTTTCGAAATTCATTAGATATCGTTTAAAGTGGCTCGATCGAAAAAGTACAGTAGATCTCTTTGATAGGAAATTTTCCAAATTTTCAGATAAAATACATTCCAATGTGAATTGAGCACTCTGGATGTTTTTGAAATAGAAACAAATCTCGAAATTTCATCGATTATAATCCGCACTTTCATTCGCGAAAATATTTACAAAGCCTGCTCAATATCTCGACTTCTGGCCAGTAAATTGTTGCAACGGTTTGCTTTGTTTTGCGGTCGGGAATCGGGAATGGTGATCATAAATTTGACTCCCGAAGACCTGTATGTCATAAAATGATTTCGACAATTTTTAACTCGAGCGATTTTTGGATTTTTGGATAACACCATTTTTTCAAAAATCCAAAAATCGTTCTAAAGTATTCGGAAAAAAATTCAGGCGTGTTCTTTGATCAATTCTAAACCATTTTTGTTCCATAACTTTTTTTCGTAAAGTTGATGGTTGTCAAGTTGAAAACTCTTGAACGATAGGTTTCATTTTTGATTTCGGCTGAGAACTTTCAAGAATTTTCAACTTGATAACCATCAACATTACGAGAAAAAGTTATGGAACAAAAAGGGTTTAGAATTGATCAAAGAACACGCCTGATTTTTTTCGGAATTTTTTGGAACGATTTTTGGATTTTTGAAAAAATGGTGTTATCCAAAAATCCAAAAATCGTTTCAAAAATTCTGAAAAAATTCAGGCATGTTCTTTGATCAATTCTAAACACTTTGTATTCTACAACTTTTTCTTGTAAAGTTGATGGTTATCGAGTTAAAAATTGTCGTAATCATTTTATGTCATACAGGTGTTCGGAAGTCAAATTTATGATCACCATTTTGAATTTCGTAATTATAACTGTTTTACAATAAATTATACAAGCCATTGACCAAATTTATATGCATGAGACGCACGAGCGAACATTTTCTTCGTGTTTAAATTTGAGTTAAACGAGATTTTTTTCTCGAAATTTCATGTTTTTTTACAAAATTGTTTATAACTTTTTATTGAATAATTTTTTTTTAATTCTGACCCCGGATTCGAAAAGTACATTAAATTTTACGTGAGAAATGACGTATGAATAGTTTTTTAACAATTTTTAGTCGGTGTAATTCATCGCTATAAATGTTGTCCAATAATGGTCATTTCAGGCGTTGAAAGGTTAATTTTTTTTGAACAAGCAGATTCAAAGTAGTCCGCACACGCGCGAGTAGTTTCGCCGCCTCTGCGGGTCGTAACTGGATTAGATCGTAGGGCAACAGACTCAACTTCACCATTATCTTTTTCGCTTCGCGCGTGAACGTCTCGTCCTTAATACCAAATTATTTCAAAATGCTCCGAACTATGGAGTAATTCGTGTTTACCGAAAAATCTCATGATCGATAGGGCGTCGCTTCTATATCCAATTCATTCTTTTTTTTAAGACGTTCAGCGATGGCCAGAATTCCAGAAGTTAATCTCAACTTACTAAATCTATACTATATGTTTCGGTGTTCCTTTTTCACCTAATCGTGTTTTTATCAGTTACATTTTCGATCTGTTTTTAGTAACATAAGGTGCTGATGTAATGAATCTTTTTATGTAATGCATGATCGTGTGCTTATCAATATAGTAAAAGATCCAAACTTGTTTTATAAAAAATATATTTATTAACAATCCAAAATTCCATAACACTAAACATAAATTAAATATTATACATCATATGACTATAGTACTTTCTTCGCTTTGCGCTCGACTTTCTAAGCGAGTTTTTTCTCTTCTTTGGAGGCGCGTTTTTACGCTCAGCCGCCACGCAAATGTTCCACAAGTCCTGATTCGAAAATGACGGCTTGGCGAGGATCAGCTCGCAACAATCCCTTGGCACCGAGTAATGTATCAAATCCCAGAAAGGATCAATGGTCCAGCGCCGGAAAAAACGTTTCGTCAGTTTCTCGCACACATGTTTGCTGCAGGCCCTGTAATACTTCACGGGCACTTGATCGTAGAGCCGGTTCGCCCAGACGAATTTGTGGTAATCCTCTAAGGATAGTCGCTTGGCCGCCTGGTCGGCTCCCATGAGAATCAGGTCGTGCAGCGTAAGGTCCGGAAGCAGCTTCACTTCCGTCGTTGTATCCGCCAACTCTTGGTCCTCGGCGAGACATTTTTCCAAATCAATCGTCGATTTGTCAAACAGTCCGTGTCTCGCGAACAGTTTCATGACCATCTTCGCCTNGTCGTTTGACGGAACGGCCTGCATAGGCATGCATATGCGTGAGAGATGGATGCATACAGATGCATGATGTTACTGACAGACTCGTGTTGTAAATCAAGTTTTGAATTCCACTTAGTTTTAACAATTTTCATTGCTTAAAAAATTAACAATATTTATCAATAATTGAACTATCCATTCTTAGTCATTGCAACGTCTGTATCTGTTACATCGATCACTGCGTCTGTCTGTCTCTCTCTCTCTCTCTAGCACATGCCTAGTACATTTCGTTCAATCAAACGCCGGAAATGATATTAGAAAGTTTTAATCGACACAATAAAAGTAGCTAACAAAATTTTTCGAGCATTTTGAAACAGGGGGAATTTTTATGGAATTTTTGAATCACTACTTCAAAAAAAAAATAACTTATATTCATATAAAACATAACTCATTTTTACTCGAAAACTACTGAATTTAGAGAAAAAGGGCAAAAAACCAAAGTTTGAAAAGGAGTTCAACAACTCCATAAAAATTCTCTAAGATACCTTGATAGTCGTGATCACCCCTGATCATATTTACATCGTGATTCCCTAACGGTAACATTGTGAAAAAAAAATCAAAAACTTGATTTTTTGCAATAAATTTTAGGTTTTTTTTCGTATAAGTAGCCATAACTTTTTTATTACGCAAAGAATCGAAATTTCGAGCTCAGTTTCTGAAAGGACATTAAATTTTACATCGAAATAGGTCCATACGAAACTTTTTGGAGGCCTCAAACTAAAAAAAAAATCGCTGCGAAAACCAACAAAAAAATCGAGCATTTTGGTCGTCAATGGGTTAAACGAACTCCCGAAAGACGACATCGAGTTCACACAAATACCATTGAGTAAATAAATACGCATATACACAATGAAAAATTTTATATGCTGCTCCCACGTCATCGTATGATTGGAGGGCTCCATATAACCCGCTACTGATGGCAAAAATTATAATTGATAAAGGAATTGGTTTTAGCTCTAATTGATTCGCTTTTGAAAAATGTTTACAGTAAACTAATTGAGCTAAAGGGTTTATTGTTTGACGAGGTGTCCAGGGCATGAAAAAGTTAAAGCATAAATACTTTCCATGCAGTTGGACTTGACTATCTAAGCCTGGCACAGAGATAAGCTTAATACATATTAATTTCAAACATTTTATGATATTTAAAACTTCATCATGCCCTGTAATTTTTTTGCAAGGTCACTCGAAAAAATTTAGTGAAGATCTGTGATGAGGAGATGAAAGGCTTTGCTTGTAGGTGAGTTTTTGATTGTATAGTCGAATTTTTCATTGGGGAAGATAGTAAAAAAAGCGGACAAAACTATTAGAGATAAAAGTTGACGTCCAGTACCGCCACTTGTTACATTTTTTTCGTCTGCTATCATAATCGATCTCCTATTTACCCATATCCGCGCCATATCGATCCTAGATCACAAATTCCTACGTTACCAACCCAACTAGTGTTACGATGATGATAGACAAATTAATTCTGCGATTCATATTTATTTTATATTTTTTTTAACTTAACGCTCGCCCCCCTTTCACGTCGCCGCATCTTGTTTTGCAGTGAGAATATTTCTCCGTGTACCAAATTGTGGGAGCGAAGAGATGATACAGAAAGAGATATTGTAGCGCCCGCTTTCTTCGGGTTTTCACACTGGTGACGTCCAGTACCGCCACTTGTTACATTTTTTTCGTCTGCTATCATAATCGATCTCCTATTTACCCATATCCGCGCAATATCGATCCTAGATCACAAATTCCTACGTTACCAACCCAACTAGTGTTACGATGATGATAGACAAATTAATTCTGCGATTCATATTTATTTTATATTTTTTTTAACTTAACGCTCGCCCCCCTTTCACGTCGCCGCATCTTGTTTTGTAGTGAGAATATTTCTCCTTGTATGGTCACAATAATTGTAACAAAAACAGTGGTGATAGAAGTAGCAGCGACGGCGTCGGCGAAACCGATCGTCACGTCGCAGCGACTGCTGGCCAAGGACGAGCGACCCGAGCGCTGCGACATCTGCGGCTTCGGCTTCCCGGACCTGAAAATCCTGCTGCTGCACAAGCAGATCGCGCATCGGGTGCCTGAAGCCCAGGCACGCCTAGGGCCCGAGCAGCTGCACATGAAGAACTTCCCGTGCCACCTGTGCAGCAAGGTGTTCACCATCAATGGCAGCCTCATGGTACACATGAAGGTCGCCCATCCGGGCGTCAATCGGCCCGTCAATCCAGGTACTTGTTTTAACAAATATAATATAAAACCACTGGAACCTCATAAATTATAATAAATCCATTGATGTCGACGCGACGCGATGTCCATACGTGTGTGCACTCACCGCAGGTGAAAATAGTATGTAAGATCTGACTCCAGATCTTGTATTCTATAATCGACGTCAGAACTTATTTCAGATCTGACATCAGATCTAATGTCAGATCTGGAGTGACTGTATTGCCTTTAACTAATCAAACAATAAGTTTATTAATAATTAAAACTTTATAACAAATTTAGTTATATTTTAATAATCACATCGATTATACCTTAAGAAAAATTCCTACAATATTTAGGTTTCCGATAATGTGAATTTAAATTGATTCAACAACTTTTATTATTAAGATTTTTTATAAAATTTTAATTATAAACCTATTGTTTAATTAATTAGAAGCAATACAGTCACTTCAGATCTGACATTAGATCTGATGTCAGATCTGATATAAGTTCTGATGTCGATTATCGAATACAAGATCTGAAACCAGATCTGGAGTCAGATCTTACATACTATTTTCACCTGGGATACACCCACATTATTGGAAAACGATGAGATGTGTCTACGTTGCAGGACTGCTAGTCGTGAGCGACGAGGAACGAGTGGCCACGATGCTGAGGGTCGCCTCGCCCACCGAGCCCATAATTGCCCACAAGTCGCCCGTGACTTGGATTTTTACAAAGTTCGAGAGGCGTAGAATTTTTTGAACCGCAGAATCGATCAAAGCCACTACCGATACCATGAAATTATGGCTTTGATTTTTTTTCCTTTTTTTGGATTTTCGTGCATGACGTGTCGACGACACGAGTAAATCGCTGTATATTATAATGTACAACCCGTAGGCTATATCTTCTTTTTTTTGTTATAATCTACGGATAATTAATAATAATGTCACAGCTTTAAACCCCCCATGAATTAATACTCGCAGCTCCACGTATATATAGATATAAAAAAAGCACAGCCAAAGCTTTGAACACCCCCGTTGGTGCAGTCTGGAACAAAAAAAAATAAACAACGAGACACGAACTCTGAAAATCTGAACGAACTACAACGAATCAGATATTCTGTGTATAAAACAATATTATTATCAACAATAATATAATGTATGTTTAATTATTAGTTTATTATCCCCGAATCGTCACGCACTTCGCAACCGCACCATCACCACCAGCCCAATTTAGGAAGTGTATTATGATATCACAATGCTTTTTATTTATTATCGTATTGTAGCAGCTATGAATGAAATTTTGAATCCCCCGATGTTGTAAATAAAGCTGAGAGCTAGAGTTGTTTTTCTTCAGTTTTTCTTTCTAATTATTCGGTCTCTCGCTCGGCGGGGCCCGTAAACGAATTACAGACAGACACGAGATGAAGGAGTCGGAGGGTTGCATATACAAGAAAACCGACAAAGGCTTCGAGTGCCCGAACTGCGGCAAAGTTTTCACCAAGGTACAAAGTAGTAAAACAATTAAATTTCTTCAAATTAATGTCCAAATTACGTTCCGCGCGCGCAGGAGCAAAACATCATCCAGCACATCAAGACGCACGACAGCAAGCAGTGGGAGTGCGACGTGTGCTGCAAGCTCTTCACCACCAAGTACTTTCTTAAGAAGCACAAGCGGCTGCACTCGGGCGAGATGCCGTACAAGTGCGGCCTCTGCGACAAGACCTTCACGTTCCAGCAGTCGTATCACAAGCACAAGCTCTATCACAAGGACGAGAAGCCGCACGAGTGCAAGACCTGCGGCCGGGCCTTCAAGGAGCTCTCGACCCTGCACAATCACGAGAGGATACACACGGGCGAGAAGCCGTTCGAGTGCGAGTCCTGCGGTGCGTATAATGTACCAGTTGACGGAAGAAAAAATCGGTGTCACGGGGCAAGAATAGGCGGTTTTTTTTCACAAAAAATCACACTTCGTATTATGGCGAGAAAACTGTATTCCAGAAAATAGAGGAAACTGTCGATTCTTGTCACATGACACCAAGTTTTCTTGTATATAATACAATTTGTGAGATAACACGTCCAATGAGAAATGTGATACAAAAAAAAAACTATTTTATAACAAATTTTACTACGTTATATAGATGAATAACTATCCTAGCTTGCCCAACTGTGTGTTTTGTGTAATGAAGAATTATCCCATCATTGCGCCTCCTATGTCATTGCGCGTACTTAAACGACACCCTTTTCTGTATAGCTAAGCTGAGATTAACAAGGATGTACACTTTTTCTTTTAGGCAGCTCAATAGGTTAACAAAAGCTTAGCTTGTTAACAAGTGAAAAATTTAACATGTCATCGCGTGTACTTAAACGACACCCTTTTCTCTAGCTAAGCTGAGATTAACAAGGATGTACACTTTTTCTTTTAGGCAGCTCAGGAGGTGAACAAAAGCTTAGCTTGTCAACAAGTGAAAAATTTAACATGTCATCACGTGTACTTAAACGACACCCTTTTCTCTAGCTAATCTGAGATTAACAAGGATGTACACTTTTTCTTTTAGGCAGCTCAATAGGTGAACAAAAGCTTAGCTTGTCAACAAGTGAAAAATTTAACATGTCATCGCGTGTACTTAAACGACACCCTTTTCTCTAGCTAAGCTGAGATTAACAAGGATGTACACTTTTTCTTTTAGGCAGCTCAAGAGGTGAACGAAAGCTTGGCTTGTCAACAAGTGATAAATCTAACATGTCATCGTGCGTGCCTAAACGAATCTCTTTTCTCAAACTACGTTACTTAGTAACTTACGTTACTACGTTATGTAGATGAATAACTATCCTAGTTTGCCCAACTGTGTGTTTAATGTAATGAAAAATTATCCTATATTGATTTTGATGGGCAAGAAATTATTTTAATACGATTTCGGCGTTAAAAAATTTCTTGTAACATTTATTTTCACTGGTGTCTTACATGAGAAATCTTTGTAATTTTTATAGCGCTTACCTGAAGATGAGATGGAACTTGGCTCGAAACGTGGTAATTTAATACATTTTTTAACACCAAGATCGTGTTGAAATAATTTCTTGCCCATCAAAATCAATATAGGATAATTTTTCATTACATTAAATTTTACTATGTCCCATAGTAAAATTATTTGTAAAGTTACAAGAAATATTACCTCACAATACACATTTTTTCATAGTACAATTATTTTCATAGTGATTTGTACGAAAATTTTTTCATTTTAATTATTTTTCTAACAACAATTTTCTCACTGTATGTATGTCGATCGGTATATAAGATGGATTAATAATTGAAGATCTGCATTATAGGTAAATGCTTCAGGCAGAGGGTCTCGTACTTGGTGCACAGGAGGATACACACGGGTGTCATGCCTTACGAGTGCACGATTTGTGGCAAAAAGTTCAGATACAAGGTACGTATACAACGAAGAAAAATGAAACGAAAAATAGTTGACTTCATTTTTTTTTTCCTTTTGATCGAACAGGTCAGCCAACGCACGCACAAGTGCGTACCTTCGAGCAACAGCACAGCCACCGCCAGTGGCAGTAGCAATGCCGATTCCTCGGCTCGAGCTGCTGCGACGGCGACGTTTCAATCGGAAGGCGACAACGCGACCGTTTATCCGGACGTCAATCCCAACAACAACAACAGCAACAGCAGCAGTGGCAGCAATTTCTTGCTCTTAGCCGGCGGCGGCAAGGAGCAGGCGCTGAAACGAAAACTCGAGGCCGAGATCGAGAACGAGGACGGCAGCTCGACGTTGCACCAGCAGCAGCATCAGAACAACTCCAACGACGATTTCGCCAATCTGTGCTGGGCCACAACCACCAACACTACCAAGAGCAGGGACGACCCCAAGGACAACGAGATAACCATACTGGCTGTGATAAACGACAAACAGCAGACAACGACGACGACAGTCTGGCCCGGCAAGAAGATGCCGGACTCGCCGAGCACCGACGACAGCCTCATGAAGGAGCTGGACAAGGTCAGCGAGGATTACCGTAGCGGCGTGTGGTCGTCCCTGACGCAGGCGCAGGCGGTGCAGTCCTCGCCCTCGAG